ATTCAGGGAATATTACCATCTTAACAATATTAATTTATACTTTCCTAATTCTTTAAAGATACTTATCATTTATTGAAAACCAAATGTCCCCATATATAAATTAGGATAACTAGTTCTTACCTATATAGTAATTCCAGATGATATGCAAATATTGAGAGCTTCTGTTATATAGTGAAGAATCAAAATATATTGGATGATATAATATAAAATACATTATTTTATTATTCTACCCATTGCTAGATATTGCTTTATATAAAATGATCCATTTATTTTAAAATATTAAAAGTTTGAATTTTAATAATGTTGACTAAGAGAGCTTGAATCTAAAAAAACAATATTAAATCTTCTGATATATGAACATTGATATTTTTCTATTTATTTGGGTCTTCTTTAATTTCTTTGAACAATGGTTTGTAATTTTCAGAGTATAAATTTTGTACCTTTGTGTTAACTTTATTCTTCAGTATTTTCTTTTTGATACTATTGTAAATTGAATTGCTTTTAAATTTTATTTTCAGATTTTCATTGCAAGTGTATAGAAATACAGTTGGATTTTTATATGACTGTTGTATTCTAAAACCTCACTGAATTAATTAGTTTTAATAGCTTTTTAGTGGATTCCTTAGGATTTTCTATGTACAAGGTTATATCATCTGCAAATAGAGCTTTATTTCTTTCTTTTCAGTGTAGATGGATTTTATTTCATTTTCTTGCTTAATTCCTTTTGATGTGTTGAATGGAAGCTACAATAGTAGACACCTTTGTCTTTTACCTGATCTTAGGGAGAAAGCATCAGTCTTTCACCGTTAAATATTATGCAAACTGCATGTTTTTTACTATATAACTTTTATCTGCTTGAGGAAGTTTTCTTTTATTTATTTTTTCTTAAATCATAAATGGTCATTGACTTTTGTCATTTTCTTTCTTTTCCTACATACTGAGATTGTGATATTTTGTCCTTTATTTTATTGATATGGTGTATTACATTTATTGTTTTTTGGATGTTAAACCAACTTTGTATTTCTGGGATAAATCCCATTTGGTTCTGATATATAATCCTTTTTATATATTGATTCAGTTTTCTAGTGTTTTGTTAAGGATTTTTCTATCTATGTTCGTAAGAGATCTTGGTCTGTAGTTCTTTTGTGATGTCTTTGCCTGGTTTTGGTATCAAGCAATGCTGGACTCATAGAAAGAGTGAGAAATATTCTCTGGCAGATTTTGGGAAGAGTTTATGAAGAACTGATATTAATTTTCTTCTAAATGTTTGCTAGATTTACCAGTGCAGCCGTCTGGACCTGATATTTTCTTTGTGGGTAGTTTTTTTGTTTGTTTGTTTTAAATTACGAATTCAATATATTTACCTGTTATAGTTCTATTCAATTTCTTCTTGAATCAGCTTTGGTAAATTGTGTCTATTTTATCTAAATTGTTGGCATACAGTGGTCATAGAAATCTCTCATAATCTCTCAAAATCTCTCATTTTATTTTGGTGAGGTCAGTGATGATGTCTCCTCTTCCATTTACTTTTTTGCATGGTCAGTCTAACTGAAGATATATTAATTTTTTTCTTTTATTTATTTTATTCATTTATACTGTAATTTAAATTTTTCTTTGGATTTAGTTTGCTCTTTTCTCTCAGTTGTCTTAAGGTGGATGATTAGCTTATTAATTTGAGATCTTTGTTCTTTTTTTAATAAAGGCAACTCAAATGAAGAAAGTTTAAGTAACATGCCAAGTTCTCTTAATAGTATAGATCAGATTTGGCATTTGGTCTTCTCGTTCATTCCACATGTTCTCTCCCTGGGGGACTTTTGTTTGTTATACTGCTATTTGTGTATGGATGATACCCAGATATTTTTCACTAGACTAGATCTCTCTGCTGAGCTTCCAAACTAAAACCCAATCAGCCACCAGAGGTCTCCCCCATTGTCCTACAAACTTGACCCCATCAGAGCTCCTTTCTCCCTATTATCCACCACCTTTTCTCTAAATCTGCTTCTTCCACAGTTTGTCTTGATTAATGGTGGGCGCCACCACTCATCTGCTCTCCTACACGCACTCCTAGATGCAAGCCGGTGCCAGCTTTTACCACGGCACAGGCGACATTAGCTGTTCCCTACACTTGTTCTTTCTCCTAAGATCCTTTATTCTGACCCACTTGACTTTCATCACGTCACCATCTGGCAAGTCCCGGCCCTCTGTGAAATGTTTCCTAAGGACTCCAGACAGTTAAATGCCCCCCTACATTCTTCTCCTGCCTTTGTTTCTAACTTGATCATGGCATCTGTCTGTAGGGTGTACTGTTTCCTTTCCTGTGCTTGTCTGCCTTCTAAAGCTGTGAGCATCTATTGAGTAAGCACTGAGTTTGCTAGAAGTTATTTTATAAATGCTTGTGAAATAAATGAATGGTTCTGAGATGGTTTGAGGTTTTGTTCGAGAGTTGAGGATCACTATGGAGTTACTGCCCCAAATCTATCTCATAAGTGCACATTAAACTATATACCCCTTCAACAGCCTGACTCCTGCTCATCTTTCAGGATCCTGCTCCCGTGTCACTTCCTTGGGGGAATTGTTCCCGACATCCCAGGTTTTGTTAGGTTCCTCTAGACCTCTCTTTTGCCTGGCTTTTGCTGGAAGTTCAATAGATACTTTTGGGGACCAATAAATAATAGCAGCCACAAAACCTTTGTTTTTGTGTCTAACATTTGCTTTCTATATTTTGGTTGCCAGTTTAATAATGGAGACACCTTGACATGGCTGACCATATAATGAGTAAATGTGTATAGAGTGTGTGCTGTGGACTAAGGGCTCTTTTGGAGATATTGGGTTATAGAGATTATTAAGACATGTTCCCTCCCCGCCAGATGCTTAGACTCTGGTCTGTAGCTAAGTAACCATGATACAAGACTACACTGAGTGAGGACATTGCCTTCCAAACAAAAGGGGAACTTCATTCTGAGGACATAGAGAGAAACTTAAGATCAGATTCCATAGGCCATTTTCCATGGTTTGAATATGTCCCCCAAAAGTTCATGTGTTGGAAACTTAGTCCCCAAATTCATATGTTAATGGTATTGGAGGTGGATTTGGGGAGGTAATTTAGATTAGATGAGGTTATAAGGGTGGGCCCCCATTATGGCATGAGTGGCTTTATAAGAAGGGAGACCCTAGCTAACACTCTAGCTCTGTCTTGCCACGTGTTACCTCCTGCCATATTATGACACAGCAGAAGGCCCTCACCAGATGCCAGCATCTTGATATTGGGCTTCTCAGTCTCCAGACTAAGAAATAAATTTCTTTTCTTTATAAATTACCCAGTCTGTGGGATTCTGTTAGAGCAACATAAAATGAACTAAGACACAATGTTTTTAAAAATACAGAACAATTTATCACAATGTTGTACTCTTGAATTGATTATAATTATCTCATGAGCATTTAATAGACTTAATCAAACTCTACAGCAGGCTCTTCTGTAGTCTTTTGTTGTTAGTGAACTTCCTGACATCTTTTTATATTCTCTTTTAGTATGGATGCTTTTTCAGTTTCTTAGAGGGCTTGAGATTCCAAAGTGCATGCAGGAACAACTGAATATTTAATTGAGCAGATTTGTAGGCAGATGCACGCGGTGAAGTCAGAAGATGGGACGTCACAGTCCTGGGCTTTGATCAGCTGTCCTGTCTGCCAGTAAACATTTTCATTGCACAAACACATTTTCTTCCATTGTTAATTATGTTTAATAATTTTTACTGGCTTCTGAAAATGACTTTGTTAATTTTCAACATGCCTGAAAGCTTTGTTCAATGCTTTTTATTGTTCCATAGTTACTCTAAGAATAGAAAAGTGAAAGGTCAGCACAGTGCCTGCTTTCAGAAAAGAATGGATTCTGTGCTGCATATTACTATATGATTTGCCTAATTAAAAAAAAAATTGGATATTGCCTAATTCTCTACTTTTTTGTGTTATATGTCCTTCCTTATCAAATAAGCAACAGGATGAAAAATATTTGGTAGTTTATAAATGAAGAAAACACATTTACAAATCCCTTGGACTAGGAATGATGTTTGTAATTAAGAGAAACCCCATTCTACTCAATTCTAATGATTGTTTATAAGTAGTTTATACTAATATTCTGGTAATCCCCAACTCCTTGGATTCTTAAAAATTAAGTACATAAAATTGTTTTAATTTTGATGAATGAAATGACTATCTAAGCTTCTTCCTTAACTGTCAGCTCTTTCTGCTTAGTGGAGGCAGTCTGCACCATGGCCTGAGCAACGTCCCGGCCGCGGTGACGGTGCTTGGCCGGCAGCCTGTGGCCAGGTGTTGGCGCCACCTGTGTGGGCCGTGTCCCAGCTGCGCTCTTACATCGAGGGTGTTACATCCTGATCCATTTTGTGTTTCCTCTTCGTCATTGCACAACAGCGATAATGACACCAACTTATGCAAGGTGGTTAGAATTTCATGAGTTAATATAAACACTAAATAAATATTAAGAGTATCCTTCTCCTTCATCTTCTCCTCCCAGTATTCGTTTTAAAAAAATCACACATCTTTGTGACTGGTATATTGAGTATTCAGCACTTCAGATAAATCTGTAAAGACATTCTGTGATCGCGTGTGCATGTGTGTGCGCGCTGGGAGGTGGCTTATTTCTCATCTCCTCGTTGCCTTTCCTTGATTCTGACTCTCAGGCAGACGTTGCACCTTTTCTCTGGGGATAGGTCTCTGTGTGAGCAAGGATGCCCAGGGCCGTGGTCCAGTAAGGAGAAACAGACTGGTTCCAGTTAGCCCCCGCCTAGATTGCTTGCCCTTTTGAAAACTGCAGATCAAATAAGTTTATTGAATTTAGAATTATAGAAATTTAAAAAATGAAATGTAATTGTTCTTGTGTTGGGAAAGTGAAAGCAAACTTTATTACTCATTTTTGTAAAGCTATAAAAAGAGCAGAGTGAAGAAGGCTTTTATTAATTCTTTCATACATCTGGTTCCTTTGCTAGGTGTGTCCTCGGTGACGGCTGCAGCCCTCGAGCAACATGCCTGAACAGAGCAACGATTACCGAGTGGCCGTGTTTGGCGCAGGTGGTGTTGGCAAGAGCTCCCTGGTCCTGAGGTTTGTGAAAGGCACGTTTCGGGAAAGCTACATCCCGACGGTGGAAGACACCTACCGGCAGGTGATCAGCTGTGACAAGAGCATATGCACGCTGCAGATCACCGACACGACGGGCAGCCACCAGTTCCCGGCCATGCAGCGGCTGAGCATCTCCAAGGGGCACGCCTTCATCCTGGTGTACTCCATCACCAGCCGCCAGTCCCTGGAGGAGCTCAAGCCCATTTACGAGCAGATCTGCGAGATCAAAGGGGACGTGGAGAGCATCCCCATCATGCTGGTGGGGAACAAGTGCGACGAGAGCCCCAGCCGCGAGGTGCAGAGCAGCGAGGCGGAGGCCTTGGCGCGCGCGTGGAAGTGCGCCTTCATGGAGACCTCGGCCAAGCTCAACCACAACGTCAAGGAGCTCTTCCAGGAGCTGCTCACGCTGGAGAAGCGCAGGGCCGTGAGCCTGCAGATCGACGGCAAGAAGAGCAAGCAGCAGAAGAGGAAAGAGAAGCTCAAGGGCAAGTGCGTGCTCATGTGAGCGCCCTTGTCCGCCCCGCCAGGGCAGCATGCACGGTGCCCGCGTGTTCAGCGTCGCGTCTGGCGGAGACGCCCTGTTGTCCCCATTAGCAGGCGCCCCCCCAACAGTAAGCCCCTCCTTGGAGCACGCTCCGCCGGGCGGTGGGAAAGGGGCCGGCGCTCGCGTCGCGCGGGCGCTCGCAGGTGCAGCGCGGCCGGCTTCGCTCCCGCCGCCCGGCTGCTCCCGCTCAGAGCCCGGCCTCGGGGCGTGGCGGGGAGCCGGGTCGAGTGGCCGCGCTCGACCCCGGACAGTGCGTCTCCGCGAGGAGGATCGCACGGCCCGCACGGACGCCCGTCCCAGCTCCCGCCTGGCCCGATAGGAGCCTGCTGCCCCGAGGGGGTGCGCCCACCGCTGTAGGCCCAGCCAGAAGCGCCGTTTTAGCCTGTTAGAGTATTTCCACACCCAAGGGCGAGTTCGCTAAGAGCGTGCTGCTCTGCTGGAAGTCCCTCAGTTCTGAGTAAGGACGGTGTGACATCATTCGAACAGCGAGATAACGGCCCTGTGTGCTGTACTGCAAGGGTTTTAGAAAAGTGAAGTTTCCTTCTTTTGACCTGTGAGGAGTATAACTTCTTCCAGCTCACAGATTTTAAATATAAGCAAATAAAGTATCTGTTTTTAGACATTTTTTTCCTCCAAGATGTCTTTTTCTCTTGAATAACTTGATCTGTGCCCAGCAGGGCGACAGCGGCAAAGGCCACCCGACAACCAGAAGCACACCCATTTTCTAGCTGTTACAGACATGTATGTGCCACACTTTGCACCTTAACGAAATACTTCGAAACATAAGTTATTAACTGTGTTCTTCAGGATCTGTCTATATCAGAAGTATATTCCTAGAAAATGCATTTAGGTGATAGTCAGTTCTCTTGCATGTTCCATTATACATGTCTTCTAAGCGCTGTTGAATGCAGTATTCACTCTAGAAACAATTATCTACTTCTGATGGTTTGGTGTGAATCTTTCATCCTTCAAACCAAATCACCGCCACTGCTGGTTCCTGTGCGTTGGCATGGGGTGGGGTGTTGGCTGGCAACAGGCTGCTCTGTCCTGGACAGACTCTTCTGCTCTGCCACGGGAGAGTCTGGCTGGGTTCTGCTTCCGGAAAGTTCCAACCGATAGCACCTATTAGTTCTGTTTGTTTCAGCTTGCAGAATGCATGCTGGCCCCAACAGGGGCATCGTCCTTCCTGTGGCCCGCCTGGCGAGCAGATGGAGCTGCAGTGCCACAGGGCGGGCCCAGGAGGCCTCCTGGCTGTTGGGCAGCAATGCTCTGAAGTTGGGGTGTTCGGATGTAGGGCCAGCTGCGGCAGCACTGTGGCCACCTCCCTCCTCCAAAGCACACTTGTTTCTCAATGGGTCCTGGTTCTTTTAGCCCCTTCTGGTTCTGTTCCCTTGTTCTGGCCCCATCCTCTGTTCTCCCAGTAGTGTGTGGGCAGTGCCTTTGACAGCCGTGGCTCTGTGGTCTCACCACTCCTTGGTCTCCTAGAGCGAAATTGCTCTGACTTGGTGGGGAACACTCATGCTGAGCTGAGCAAAGAGGGGAGTGCCTCAGAGCCAGTGGGGTGGGGCATACAGCACTCGGGCCAGCCCTGAGGCCCCTTCCAATCCCTCAAGCAGGCGCGTTCCGTTCCAGAAGGCCGTTCCACAGCATCCGCAGTGGGAGCTCTAGTTGGCACAGTTTCTGGAAGATTTGTTTTCCAGCTTGTTCCTTCATTTTTCCCATTTCTATTCTCAAGATTATCAATTTGCAATTTGAATATGAGTTAAGTAGAAGAAGAAATAGAACTTCACCCCAAAATGGGATGTATAGATTTTGAGCAGGTTCTTTGTTAATAGTGAAATGTTATCTTTGCCACTGACTGTAGTATTATTAATAATATGGCTTTTAATGTGAGATCTCCCTGGCAACCATTCCATTCCTATTGATCATAAATCAGAATTTCTTTTTACCCTTTTAAGTCAGCTTCTACACCTGTAAGTGTTTGGGGCTTCGTCAGTATGAGAAGCTTGTCATTGAATATCTGACCCCATTCAGGATGCATTCTGTTCCTTCATATTTTGCTTGTGAGTTTATAGGGTAGGAAGGCTGTTTAGGCCTCGATTGTGGGTCTTCATTTGGGATTACTTTCTATGAACTGAACTGAAGATATTGATGGGTATTTTAAAATCACCTTCTAGGAGCTCCCCAATTGACTCAGGGCTTGAAGAGTTAGTATCCTAGAATCAGGTGATTTTTAGCATCAGCAAGTTCCCAGTCCCAAACATGTATCTGTGGTTCTTGAAAGCATGTCCTGTGTTGCTTATGGGCATAGCAGTTTTCTACCCAGTCACAGTAAGTTACAAAACTCAAAATATCGCTTTGAAGATGGCGCTCTGGGAATAAGCACAGGGCTCCGCAACTTCCCTCTGTCCCCACAGGCCCCGCCCTCCTTCCACCTACAAGCCATGGGCATGCTTCCCCTGCGGCAGGACCAACTCACGAGCAATATCGAATCCTTCCTCATTCCTAAAAGTGTATGTATAATATATAATTTATCTTCCTGTACTTTTGAAGTATAAAGTAGTAAATTGTACATATCTGTATGCTAGTGTATTTGTTTCACTGTTTGTAATATTTAAGAAATGCTCATTCTTTGTAGAACAAAATTGTATTAAATATTTTATGAAATTGCTCTGTAATACTTATTTTTTTTTCTTCAAAAATTTGTAATGTGTTGCTCCTGTATAAACTCTCTGGAAATATCCATAGCTCATGGAACACATGTAAAACCTTGAAGACACATCCTGGGATTCAGGACCCCACAAAGACAGTATGAGAAAGAGTATTTGCAGAGCATGACTTTTTTACATGTGGAATATCCATGTATATATATATTTAAGGTGTATTTATTGTTACAACTCCATTATCTATTAAATTTTATTTACTGTGCAGTTATGAAAAATCACCCTTGCATATAAGTTTCTAGTTGGCAGTGATGTTCTGGAAAAAATGGAACATATCACAATAAAGCTACAGTTATGACACTCCGTCTGGAAGGTGGTGCTGTTTCTTATTTTTCAGGGAGGGATTAGCTGGTTTGGGATGGCCTTGACCCAGAGCTCCCTCCGTGGCTGCCACGTGCCACCCATGGCCAGCGTGGGAGGATGCTCCGGTCTGCAGGGCAGTGGCAGCTTGCCCTGGGTGTCCTGCAGAACCTCCCGGCTGGTCTGATGTAGGCAGGGTGAGGCCAGAGAGGAGAGGGAGGCAGGGCTCTACCGGCTCAGAGCAGTGGGGGACACTTAACGGCATGGTAGAGGAAGCGCAGGCATTGCTCCAAGCAGGTTTCCACGTGGCCCCTTTTCCTCCTCCACACTCACTAAAGCTGAATTTTGGTAACACAGGAGAAACTGATCAGAAACTAAAAACAAAATCCTCACTCTGCCACTGAATAAGCAAAGTAGCTCTGGAAAGTTTCTCACCCGCGACTTCTGTGAAATGGATTCATCAACATCTGTGAGGTGGCCGGAGGGGTCACTCAGAAACAGGATCAAAGCACAGACATGGCTCGTCACACACTGAGCTTTCTCTGAAACAAGCATAAACCTGCTGACTATGTAGGTTCTATCCGGAAGGCCATGGCAGTGCGAAAATCAATCCATGCAAATATAAAACCACAGAAACTGGGTTTCTTCCAGCCTCTTGATTGACAGCTCTCAGGGCCCCTCCCCCATGGGGTCATTATTGCTACAGGTTATTGTCAGGCCTAGGGACATAGGTAGCTAGTAGCCCACCATTAGCTTCTGTATTAGGCCTGCTTGCTTGGAGGGTGGAAAATTTTCAGCTGACCCTTATCTGACTCTGGACCTGCCATCTCACTCCTGCTGGTCTGATTAAGTTTAGAGACTAAGGAGAAGTGTGGTGGCGCATGGCACAACTGCCCACAAGATACAGCCGCCAGTCCAGGGTCGAAACGCCCTGGACCCCTGAGGTGCCTGGCATGCTCTGTGTACCTAGTGGATGCGCTTAGGTCACAGAATGCAGGATGTATTTCAACTAAGATTAATGTCCGTAATTAGGATACTTCAGAGGCTTCCTCTCGGCCGAATCTTAGGTGCAGCCGGTGACTCCTACAAAACACATCTCAAGGCTCTACCCGCCCTCCACCATTGTGCTAAAACAGGTTCAAATGTAAGATTAATGCTTTCTCTTCCTTTTGTAAAAGTGCTTGCTAATTAGATTTTTAGAGTGTATTTTTTGCCTTTAAAAAGGGGCCATTTTTCCTAGCTCATCGCTACTTTCTGTGCTTGCCACTCTGCAGGACAGGAGTAGTCCTGGCCAGTCAATTAAGACTCACAATTTGACCCAATTCGGTTTCTAAGGTGGTCTTTTCTCACACTCTGGGCCATAACAGTTATTCCAGTTTCCCTCTTAGGGAGATATGACAGCAGGCCCCAGTTAGGCTTATCAGACTTTAATGTGCAAATGAAGCACTTCAAGGTCATGTGTTCAGGAGTGTCGAGGCAGCAGGGCTGGGCGGGGCCTGGGAGTCTGCATTTCTAGTGGGCTTGTAGGTGACATCTGTGCTGCTGGTCTGTGGACCACACTTGGAGGAGCAAGGCAGTTATCCACTCGGGCTCCGATATCGTTGCACGTTGGAGTCATCTGGAAGAGTTTGGGAAATTACTGATATCCAGACCCCATCTCAGAAGGTATGATTTAGTAGCTCTGGAACGTGGCTTTGGCTTCAGGGTATTTAAAAAGTCCCAGGTAATTGTAATGTGGAATCAAATTGAATAACTTCACTGTTAGCCAAGTTTAACTGAGAATGCCTGCCAACTCCCTAAATCTCCTGGGGTTGGGATGGCCATGGCTTTTTAAATTAAACCCCCCTTTAGTGAATGTTTTCCAGGCAGCAAATGGGCAGTATGGTGTGAGGATCTTAGTCTTGTCTACGTAGAGCATCTTCCAAGCTTGGCATTGAGAGAAAATCAGAATTCAGGTACAGAGCGTCTGGCCCCTGCACCTCCTGGGGGAGGTCCATGAGGGTTGGGTGTGGGGTGGCATCCCTGGTCTTGGGTCCGGGCCCAGCAGCTGTCCTGGCCCCCCAAGCCCAGCATGGCACATTCTCAACAGCGTCTCCAGCTCCTTTACAGGCATACCGAGGCCATGCGCATACCGAGGCCAATGGCCCCGGCAGTCCTGCCTGGGCTGCGGCCGGCATGCTGACGGTGTGTGGGCAGAGGCGCCGCGTCTCGCAGCCAGCAAAGCGGCTACTGCTGTGGCCGCGTCCACGGGTTCCGTGGCCCCTGGCGCTGGCTCTGCCCTGCTGCTTCACTTTTGGACATGGACTCTCATGCCTTCATCGTTTCGCATTTCTGGATGGTCCTCATTTGCTTTTCTCTCTCCATTTACCTTTTCCTGACCAAAGGAGATCTTTCATCCTGGTCTATCACAGGTGACTGACGGACCCAAAGAAGCAGGCACCTGCCTCAGACAATTTAACGTACCTTCTGTTGCCATTGGCAACAGCTGTTACTGGTGTGCTGTGGCAGCTCCTCGCCGTTGGCCGCAGGCAGCACTGAAGGGTTAGCTAAGTGCAGGACAACAAAGAAAACGTGTGTGTTTCAGCCTAACTTTCATGAGGAGAGAGGTGAAAGGGCCAGAAAAAAATAAGTGGAGTTAGAGCTCTTCATGACTGTAAGATGAAAGTCATGCGGTTTCTTTAATAGAGGCAGCAAAGGGATGTAAAGTAGATGTGAAGTGTCTTTGCGTATGACAAAAGTCAAGACTAGTTTTTGCAGTCAGTTTGATAACAAGTATATGTTAGCTTTCAAGACACCTCTTCAAGTGCTCACTTCTGCTCAGCATGCACACACACGCGCACGCACACGCGCACACACGCACACAATACACTCACACACGTACACACACATGCACATGCACACACACGCACACGCTCAACCACAGAGCCACCGTAATCAAGTCTCCAAAGTTAGATACCACAGAATATCCCCCATGTCCCCATTCCAACCTCAGGGTAAGTGTCAGGAACTCAGAGGGGGTTAGGGAATGGGCTTTGTTTAAGATATCATTGTCGTTGCAAACTGGCAACGCTCAATTATACAGTAGCTGTGTTAGCATACACAGCTTTGGTCATGCTACTTCCTCTGCTTGGAAATCTCTTTTTTCTATCTCCCTGTCCTGTCCCTACTTGTTAAGATCTTTCTTGTACTAAGGCTGCCCCTCAAATTAACCCCCTCTGTGAAGGCTTTCCCAGTCATTTAAGTCAAAAGTATTACATCCTTCTTCAGAATTCCTCTTGATTCTTGTTCTCCTGACCTTTATGGCTCTTACAACATGTTTCATCATGTAGAGACTATTTTTGCACGCATCCTGGTTTTGTTCATACTAGTTAAACTGAATTCCTCATTGAACCCTCTCAACAATCTGAGCTACGCTCTGGACCGGTAAGTGTCCCACACGCCTGTGGCTAGGGAGCTGCGGGTGGAGGCGATCCCTGCTTTCAGGCTGGCGCTGCCCCCGCCCTACCCCCCCCCCAGGCAGCGTTCCAGAGACAGCGCTCTCTTGGTGTCCGTGCAGCACGAGGGCAAGGACGGGAGCAGAGGCCCTGCTGACCTGTGATGGATGCGCAGCCCGAGGACAAATAAATCTTTGTTGTTTTATTTTTGGGTTGTTTGTTACTGGGGCATAATCAGCCTAACTTGACTAATATGTTACATTTGTTTTACCTTTATTCTCAAAGATCAGCATTTCCTTCTTGTCAGACTTTTCCTTTTAAAATAAAATAGCAAGTGAATAAATAAAATCTATACAATACAAATAAATACAGTGCTGTGAAGGTTGAAGTTCTTAAGAACATGCCAGAAACTTGTAAAGTGTTTTTTTAATCCTACTTACCGGATTATAAAAAAGAATATCGTCAGATTTAGGCCACCTAGTGTTACCCATAAATGAATTAGGCTACAGAAATTATGCAACAAAGTTAGTCAAGTGGACAAAAAGTACCCAGGCATTCTGGAGTCTTTGTGTTTGCCTCACTAGAGTTCAAGATGTTGGACCACTGGCTAGTCTGGAAGCCGTTACACAGTTTCCAAGGAAAAGGTAGTGAAGCATTTCTTCTAAAAATTTTACGAATGTGAAATATAAAACTAATTGAGTTTTACAGAAAGCCTATTGAGTTCCTAATAATTGTATTCTCAGCAGCAGTTCCAGAGCCTGTGGGACTTTTGTCACATCAAGGAGGCAGACAGTCTGCTGACATCATGCATTCTGTCTTGACTAATGTGTTTCATGTTTGTTGCATGTACTTTCTTATGTTCATTAAATTGCATTTTTTCCTTTATATGTCTAACTCATGGTTTAATGAAGCATAAAGGTAGAGATAAAACAGTAGCAAAATACTAAACTCATGTCATAAGTCACTGTGAATCTTTCTGTGCCTATAGTCAATTTGTCAATCTATGAGTATGATAATTTTCTAAGTCAGGAATGCCACCCCTCCACCACTGCAAAAAACGTGTATGTAGGAGACACAAAGGAAATATGAAGATTTGTAATTATGGGTCTGGATCGCTTATGACAATGTATGGTTCTTTATGAAAATTTATCAATTCATCAAACTTCCACCATCACTTGTACATCAATCAGGCTCTTTTTTTTTAACAGAACAAATGCAAAATGATGAAAGTGTGAAAATAATGAGTTTTTAAAGAAAAATAAATAATCAAAAACTATATATATTTTTTGGAACAGAAAGAGACACAAGTGACATTCTTATAGAGGCCCATAAAGCCAGACTCAAAAGCTTATTACAAATGTTCTCAGAGAGAAATAACAACTGGCTTTTGGTTAGAATTTCCTTATTGATTATTGAATGTTATGTAATTTTGTCTTTATTTTTTTATTTCAGGAAATTATGGGGGTACAAATGTTTTGGTTACATATTATGACTTTGCCACATCCCAACCATGATGTGAGACGTGCCCTCCCCGCTACAATGCTCGCTGCGCCCGTTAGTCCCGAGTGCCAATGT